ACAAGGTTTTTCTATTTTTAGCTCTTGTGACCTAGTTTCTCATCCGAGATGACCCATGTTTGAACTCATCTGAGCTATCAACTAGATAAGCATCCTGACCAAGTTTGATGATGATTGATGCAAAAATGTGACCGCTAGAGTGTTAACAAGGTTTTTCTATTTTTAGCTCCGTTGACCTACTTTTTCATCCGAGATGACCCATGTTCGAACTCATCCGAGTAATCACCTAGATAAGCATCTTGACCAAGTTTGATGATGATTGATGCAAAAATGTGACCGCTAGAGTGTTAACAAGGTTTTTCTATTTTTAGCTCTTGTGACCTAGTTTCTCATCCGAGATGACCCATGTTCGAACTCATCCGAGCTATCACCTAGACAAACATCCTGACCAAGTTTGATGATGATTGAGGCAAAATTGTGACCTCTAGAGTGTTAACAAGGTTTTTCTATTTTTAGCTCTTGTGACCTAGTTTCTCATCCGATATGACCCATGTTCGAACTCATCCGAGCTATCAACTAAATAAGCATCCTGACCAAGTTTGATGATGATTGAGGCAAAAATGCAACCGCTAGAGTGTTAACAACTAAATGTGAACGGACGGACGACGGACGGACAATCATCGATCCTAAAAGCTCACCCTGAGCATGCTCAGGTGAGCTAAAAAATCATTTGTTTCTGAGGCCTTATGTGTTGTCAACAATATAAGATTCTGCTAAATAAGAGTACCTTCATGTAATATTTTCGGCCTATGCTAAAATAGACTATACCATCAAGTGTCTTTTAACCCTTACCCTGCTAAATGTATTAAATAGACTTGTCCATCTTTCAATCTGGACAAAACCATTTATTATTTTAAGGGAAATTTTCAAATACAGTACTGGTTAGCAGACCATGATTAGGCAGCACAGATGACTGTCAGTTGATCGTGATCTGCACTGGCTGAATGTGGAGAATCGGTTGCAGCCAGAAGGTTAAGAGTAAAATAAAAGATACAAATTCTCATTAAGCAAATATCATTATCATCATTTACAAAGTAAAAAGCAATAAAGTCAATTCCATAACTGCAAACTAAAAACAAAAAGTTTATTTTAAACTCTGTTAATTAAGAAAGCAAATCAAAATCTCCACTCATAAAAAAATTCTTCTTGAATATTATAAACATGTAGTTTACTTTTTTAAACTGCCTTGTAAACCTGATGACTACTATACGGCAATGTAACGACCAACTTTCCAAAAATTTTGAAAATAAATCAAGAAATTCTGCAATTCCTAAAATTGCAACCAATGATATCTTAAGATAAATAACAATGATTTTACACAGATGAAAATTTTTTATCATCTAAAAATTTTCTACTCAAAATTCTAAAATAATCAGATTTAGCTGAAATATAAACCCAATGAAAAACTACAAGTAAAAACTATAAGTATTACCAAACTTGTATAATAAATTAAAAATACCCCAACTTTAAGAATTGACTTGTGTTGTACCATTATATGCTAGTATAAATCTTGATAACATGTTATCCTTTCAGAGCAATGAAAACAATTTTTAGAATTGAAAACTTTAGACTTAGTTTGATTGAGTTTGTTCATGACAGATAATGCAAAACTATCTATAAGTCTTCACAATTTTTTTTGCACATAACTTATTGTCAATTTAGTGGCCATGAAATTTAACCAAGTGGTTAACATCTTAGACTAATAATATACAAATTGCTGGTAGTGAGGGTTCAAAGCCAGTGTCAGGGGCTCAGGTTACCAAGATCATGAATATGTATTCCTTTTTTTTTTTTAACTATTTACATATTTATCAATTTTCCTCAGTTTGATTCTATCAAAAATTCATGATACCATTCTGTAGGTGTACCATTTTTAAAACCAAAAAGGGAAAAAATATAAAAATACAAATCTATCACCTATATTAAAAAATTGAGGTTTAATTCAATAATAAAAGTTCTTTGAAAATTTCCTAACCACAACCTATTTTGCTCTTTACAAAAAACATAATACATGTGAAATAAAATTAAAATAATAATTATTATTATAGCATAATTATCATATAGCAACTAAATTAACTTTAAATGTGCTTATTAGATAAATAATTCTTTAAAAAAAGAAAAAATATATTATATGGCCTGTTTTCTAATTTAGATCCTTTTATAGATTAAAAATTTCACTATAAAGAAACAACTGGGTCCCTCCCTTTTAACAATTTTTATTGTAAAGCATCAGTCAGTGGTGACCCAACACCCCACTCTCTGGGAAATAACCAGGATTTAACAACTATCTAAATTGAAGGTTAACCACCCTAATCCCTCCTCCATAGGGATAAAAACAGAAGGTCAATTTATGTTCTAAATATAGTCTCACTTCAAACAGGACATACTGTGTAATTCCTAATGCCCCCCAAAAAAACCCAACAACATCAATGCATCAAACAATCGGTGCCGAGTCAGGTGCTTGAACAAAACCAGACTAATTTTACCAGCTATCCCAGGGACATGCCTTCCATATGTGCACGAGGCGGGGTTACAACTGACTGGTGCATAAATGAATATTCATTTGTAGTTATATAATTTAACTTTCATAAATTTATTGAAAATATTTCAGTTATAGACTGTTATAGAATACAGACCATGGCTCCAACCTAGAAGAACAATTTCACTTGCCTATCATTAATAATCATGTTGTGTAATATTATTGTACTCCTTTACCTGGAACTTTCAATAATTACTTTAAGGGACATTTTAATACCTACATACTTAGACTGATTTAAGAGATCAACTTAACAATTTTTCTCACCCTGCAAATCAATATACAAAATGTATATACAGTCATTTGTGAAAGATTTTTGAAAAACTTTGTCCCAAAACACTAAATTAAGAAACAAACAGCTATAGTGTCTGGTGAAACAAAGATGTCTGAATTAACCTGACTGACAGTATTGGTGCTCTTGTTAGTTTGTTTGTTTGTATTTTTATGCTTATTTTAACACATGTTTTGCTCATATTTCTGCCGTCAAACCACTAAACTGGCTTTCCTTGATAACTAACCAGTAATTACGTTGATTTTAACACGTTTTTAGTAATATTTTTTAGTCATATTTCAGCAGTAAAACCACAAAACTGAATTTCCTGGATAACTAACCAGTAATTACAAATTTCTCGGCAAGTGTCCAATAACTATTTCCACATGATTTCTGAAGCAGCATTGACAGACAAATGACCATTAGACTCAATATCTGAGATCACTTGTCATGCAGAAATTATACCTTGCCCAAGGATCAAACCTGCGATCACTAAATTACCAATCTGATGCTCTATAATGGTGACATACATCTCTTATTACCTCAGCTAGTAACCAATCACATGCAAGAACTCCCTAAGGTCTGTTCTCCCTAATGTTTAATTGCTATAGTTTTAAAAATAAATAAAAGGAAAAAGACCGAAAACCTCATTTCTTCCTAATATTTATTAAATAATTATTGACAGTTTAAAAGAAAAATAAAAAGAAAGGAGACCAAACAACTTAAATTTTTTCATTAATGATCCTTAAATCAAGAAAAAAAATTGTGACTAGCGAAATTTTGTTTCATAAGTTGGAGCCTTTCTAGGCTTATATAAATACATGGTTATTTTCAAAACATTCTTACCTCACAATTTTTCATATATTCTTAATTTATCTGAATGGAATTTAAATCATTAATGATACTTGTTTCATATCACCAAAAAGTTTACACTTCACAGGACCATTACACATAAATATTTATAATCTTCACAAACCGTTAACACATATATTTATACAGATGTTACATGCAACCCCATTTTTATGTTTTAAATCTATTTTTTTCCTTATTTCTTGTTCTAGCCCTATCCTTTGCCTCTTCTTAGTCAAAAAATTATACTCAATTCGTCTTATTTTGTGTGTAATTTAATCTTGAGGAATACTGTTTTCTTTAAAAAAAACAATATTCAACGAAATTTACTAAAATGTGAGTGACATTTTTGGTCCAAGCAGGGTAAGGGATAAGCTCCTTGCATACAAACAGACACATAGAACTGACACAGACAAATTCTGTCTAAATGCCTGTTTTTGGGGTATAATGCTTTCAACATTTAACAGACTGATTCATCTGAGGAATATGCATTTACTCAACTTTTAACTTTAATACAATATATCTAAAGCAATGCATATATGCATATATATTGCTACAACCATTCAATTTATGAGAAATACAATGATGATAAGAGGGAGAGAAAAGATTTAATGGGGGAAATAACAAAACAAGGGAGGTAACTTACTGTATCAGTTTTGGCTGTGCCTAGTTGAAGATTTGACAGGATAAGTAACTGTTGTTTTACTGTAGGCACTTGTAAACAATAGGCCTGTAAATCCTCACAAAAGCTGAAATATAGCAAAATACAGTATATACATTCCTGTAAGACAAAACATGATAAAAAATCAGTACATGTATTACCTTAGATTGACCTAGGTAATAATTTAATTTTGTCATCTTGGTGATGAAATGTAACGGGTTAAGTCCTTTCTAAATTTAATAGGAGTTAACCAGTTATTGCACTAAGGTGACAAGACAATATAGGAATATAAATGATCATCAGAGGTGCATACCCATCCAACCTTGAAATACCTGACTTATGACCTTGACCTTTTTTTTTACACAATGTCTAGTTTACTGGCATGAAAATGAGAAAGTGATTAAAATGGAGAAAATTTCAACCAAATGATACAGTCCAAGGCCAAGCTCTGAAAAGAGACATCAGGGAATTTCCTAGGATATTGGTGCTTTCTGACCAGCATTACAACTACTTATAAACCAAATTTAAACTTTTATTTGATAACCCCAAATTTGATTTAAATGGACAGTTCCGAAAATAGAAGCTGGGCAAGTCCAATTGAAAAACTTCAGCAGGTTAAAAGGGTAAAGAAAAAACTTTTTTTATAAAGTTTTCCAAATAAAGTTACTTTCTCTTACCTCTTATCAATACAATGGTTGATTAAAAAATGGCAAAGTGCAGAACCTGTCGCTATTCTCAGCCAGAGCTTTTGCAGTCTCTACCAATGCAAGGTGATTCTGAAACAAATCATCATTTAGATTTAAATTGTATACACATCATGTAACTTTGCTTGTTTACATCAAAAAGTGCATCATTAACCAAACCATACAACTAATTTTCCTCTGAATAACAAAATTTTCTGTCATGTGTGTCCTTCCATACTTGACCCCATGTTTTTATCTTTTTCTCGTTCCACGAAATCATTTATTGTGATAAATTATATAGTGTTCAAGATTGTACACTGTTTGAGTTAGTGGTTTGGCTGTGTGAGAGATACTTTTCTTAGATATCGCAACTTTAATTATCTTAATGAGCATATTTAATCAAACTTGAGTCTGCAATTTTCATCTTTTTGCCTTTGTTTTCAGTGATCTCAAGAAATCTCTCATTTTTCCAGATTAAAATAAAAGAAAGATTGTTTGGAAATTATTAGTCTGTATGAAATAAACAACATATTTGACCTTTTTTTTTTAAATTTTACATATTCATTTTCTTCCTATTTTTAATCACACACCCTTTACACCTTTCTTTCATTGTTTAAAAACCAGTGGTTTCTACAGTTATGTACACACCTGTCACTTTAATCTGCTTTTTTTGTTTATTTTGGTTAAATTTCAAGTTGCTAACTGGATAGCCAAAAGGAAAGCTTTGTCAGCTTCCTGTAGGAAGGGGGGATACACTCCATTTTATAAAAGTTGAAAGACTACAAATTCTCTTGACTCCCAAAAACATGCTTCCAAAAAAAATTATCTAAATTAATAATTTAAAACTTCTAATTCGGGAATTTATTTTATACTTACATTAATTGGACCTTCACGTCTCACATATTGGGTCATGTGTTTGATTTGGGTTGCCATGGTTTTGGCAACTTTAACAATAGGGTTACTGTTATCTTCCCATCTGTCTGTCTGTGTCTCAATATAGCGTGCATTTTTCTAGAAAATACAACATACATAACATTGTTTAATAAGAGCACCCTGTGTGGTGTTTTTGCTGACTATCAATTACCAATTTTGACAACAAAAAAAGTAGCTAGGTTTAAAAGGGGCATTACTTCAAAATTCAAAATACGTTCAGAATTATCCCCCTTGTCTTACAACTGTACCTTGTCATGATAAGCAAGTATTCCAAGTTTGATGTGGATATGTACAATGTATTAAATTGTTTAAATAATGGACTACATTTAAGTTTTTGCATGCATAACAAGAATAACTGCCAAAAAAAAACACAGCAACCATAATAGGACTTTTTCTTAAAGACAGAATGATGTGCTACTAAGACAAAAATGTAGTTTGTGAAGAATAAAGCATGAAATTTTCCCCTAGATTTTACTGCCTGTTTTAGTTTGATTTAAAAAAAAACTGACTTTTAATGACAGCTAAACTATACAGGACTTGTGAGATGAACAACTTGGTGCCAAATGGCAACAAGCACTATCCCCCCCCGACCTTGGTCAAGACAATAGTTTGAGTAATTGATAATGCTAAAAGGCCACATTATAAACTAGAAATGTGTCCATAGGACACGGGTGCCCCCACCGCGCCACTGTTCTGTCAATCTTTTTACTAAGTCAAGGGAAATAACTCTACAAATACTGGATAAATCCACAAGCGAAACCCCAGGTGCAAATCTAAATATGCTGAGCAACTTGCCCGTAAGGTTTAATGAATATGTCAAATCCTTTTTGAGTAACTTACGACACAAGTTGAAAATTGCAAAAATTTTCTAAGTGAAGGGCAATAACTCTAAAAATACTAAATAAATCCAGATGAAAATACCTGGTGCACAACTGCACATGCTGATCAATATTCCTGTAAAGTTACATGACTCTAGGTCAAATACTTTTTGAGTTACGTGCGACACATGTTGAAAATTGCAAAATTTTACTAAGTGAAGGGCAATAACTCTGAAAATACTAAAAATATCCACATGAAAATACCCAGTGCACTACTACACATGCTGATCAACATTCCTGTAAAGTTTCATGACTCTAGGTCAAATACTTTTTGAGTTACATGCGACACATGTTAAAAATTGCAAAAATTTTACTAATCAAGGGCAATAACTCTGAAAATACTAAAAATATCCACACGAAAATACCCAGGTGCACAACAACACATGCTGATCAAACATTCCTGTAAAGTTTCATGACTCTAGGTCAAATACTTTTTGAGTAACATGCGACACAAGTTGAAAATTGCAAAATTTTACTAAGTCAAGGGCAATCACTCTGAAAATACTAAAAATATCCACACAAAAATACCCAGGTGCACTACTACACATGCTGATCAACATTCCTGTAAAGTTTCATGACTCTAGGTCAAATACTTTTTGAGTTACGTGCGACACAAGTTGAAAATTGCAAAATTTTACTAAGTCAAGGGCAATAACTCTGAAAATACTAAAAAAAATATCCACACAAAAATACCCAGGTGCACAACAACACATGCTGATCAACATTCCTGTAAAGTTTCATGACTCTAGGTCAAATACTTTTTGAGTTACGTGCGACACAAGTTGAAAAATTGCAAATTTTTACTAAGTCAAGGGCAATAACTCTGAAAATACTAAAAATATCCCCACAAAAATACCCAGGTGCACAACAACACATGCTGATCACATTCCTGTAAAGTTTCATGACTCTAGGTCAAATACTTTTTGAGTTACATGCGACACAAGTTGAAAATTGCAAAATTTTACTAAGTCAAGGGGCAATAACTCTGAAAATACTAAAAATATCCCACACAAAAATACCCAGGTGCACAACTACACATGCTGATCAACATTCTTGTAAAGTTTTCATGACTCTAGTAAAATACTTTTGAGTTACATGCGACACCAAGTTGAAATTGCAAAATTTTACTAAGTCAAGGGCAATAAACTCTGAAAATACTAAAAATTTCCAGACGAAAATACCCAGGTGCACAACAACACATGCTGATCAACATTCCTGTAAAGTTTCATGACTCTAGGTCAAATACTTTTTGAGTTACGTGCGACACAAAAGTGAACGGACGGACGGACAGAAGGACGGACGGACAAGGGTAAATCTAAATGCCAGCCACCAACGTGGGGGCACAAAAATCTATATACACGACATGACTTTCAAGTTTCCACTGAACTTGAAATTGATTATAGGTTTTAGTTCAGCTTGGAATTGTCAACTGCTTAAGTTTAATAATTTTGAACAGTCAGTTGTTTGGAACTACCATTTTGTTTTAATTAAACAAGAGGGCCATGATGGCCCTAGATCGCTCACCTGACCAATCAAACTCATCAAAACAATTATCTAGACAAGCATTCTGACCAAATCTCATGACAGGTGAGTCAAAAATGTGACCACTACAGTGTTAACAAGGATTATCCATGACCTAGTTTTTTACCCAGGTGACCCATATTCAAACTTGACCTAGAAATCATCAAAACAAACTTTTCAGACCAATTTTTCCAGGATTTTTGGATCAAAACAGTAAGCAAATAGAAACAGTGTTAACAAGATTTTTTCTATTTTTTTTAGCTCCAGTGACCTAGTTTCCCAATGCGATTTCGAACTCATCCCGAGAAGCAATTACCTAGACAAGCCATCCCTGACCAAAGTTTGATGATAATTGAGTCGGGAAAATGTGGACCACTAAAAATGTTAACAAGGTTTTTCAATAGTTTGGGCGGTGTGACCTAGTTTTTCATCCAAGATGAACCCCATGTTCCGAAACTTGAATTAGAAATCATCAAAAAAAACTTTCAGAAAAATTTACAAAGGATATTTGGAATCAAAACAGTAGCCAACTAGGGTTAAAACAAGATTTTTTTATTTTTAGCTTCCTGTGGACCTAGTTTTTCATCCGAGATGACCAATTGCTTCAAAACTCATCCAAGCTATCCAAAGACAAACCATCCCTGACCAAGTTTTGATTGATGATTGAGGCAAAATTGTGGACAGCTAGAGTGTTAACAAGGGTTTTCTATTTTTAAGCTGTCTTGTTGACCTAGTTTTTCATCCGGAGATGACCCATGTTCGAAACTCATGCAAAGCTATCAAATAGATAAGGCCAATCCTGAACCCAGATTGATGATGATTGAGGCAAAAAAATGTGACCGCTGGAGTGGTTTTAACAAGGTTTTTCTATTTTAGCTCCGTGACCTAGTTTTTCATCTGAGATGAACCAATGTTCGAACTCAATTGCAAGCTATCCCTAGACAAACATCCTGACCAATTTGATTAATTGATTGAGGCAAAAATTGTGACCGCTAGTGTGTAAACAAAGTTTTTTTTCTATTTTTAGCTCCGTTGACCTACTTTTTCATCCGAAGATGACCCATGTTCGAACTATCCAAGCTATCACCTAGACCAACCATCTTGACAAGTTTGATGATGATTGAATGCAAAAATGTGACCGCATAGAGTGTTTTAACAAGGTTTTACTATTTTTACTCCAGTGACCTAACTTTTTTCATCAAATTGACCCAAGGTTTCGAAACTCCTCCAAGCTATCACCTAGACAAGCTTCCTCCAAAACAAAGTTTGATTGCATGATTGATGCAAAAATGTACCGCTTTAGAGTGTTAACAAAGGTTTTTATTTTTAGCTTTCCAGTGCCACTTTTTCAATGAGAGATGACCCATGTTCGAACTCATTCCAAGCTATCACCTTAGACAAGCTTCCTGACAAAGTTTGATGATGATATACGATGCCAAAATGTGACCGCTAGAGTGTTAAAAAGGTTTTTCTTTTTTAGCTCTTGTGACCTAGTTTTTTTATCCTGAGAATGAAACCCATGTTCGAACTCAAATCCAAGCTTCAAAATAGATAAGGCATCCTGACCCAGATTGGATGATGATTGAGGCAAAAATGTGACCGCGGAGTGTTAAAAAAGGTTTTCCTATTTTTAGGCTCCGGTGACCTAGTTTTTCATCTGAGAATGACCCATGTTCGAACTCATGGCAAGCTATCAAATAGATAACATCCTGACCCCAGATTGATGATGATTGAGGAAAAATGTGACCCGCTGGAGTGTTAAAAAGGGGTTTTTCTATTTTTAGCTCCAGTGACCTACTTTTTCATCAGAGCATGACCCATGTTCGAAAACTCATCCAAGCTATCAAACCTTAGAAAAAGCTTCCTGACAAAGTTGGATGAATGATTGATGCCAAAATGTGACCGCTAGAGTGTTAAAAAACGTTTTTTCTATTTTTAAGCTCTTGTGAAACCTAGTTTTCCCATCCGAGATGACCCATGTTTCGAACTCAATCCAAAAGCTATTTCAAATAGATTAGCATCCTGACCCAGATTGAAATGATGATTGGAGGCAAAAAATTGTGACCGCTGGAAGTGTTAAAAAAGGTTTTTTCTATTTTTAGCTCCGGTGACCTAGTTTTTTTAATCTGAGATGACCCCATGTTCGAACTCATGCAAGCTATCACCTAGTAGACAAGCCATCCTGGACCCAGATTGATGATGAAATTGAGGCAAAAATGTGACCGCTAGTTGTGGGTTAACAAAAAGTTTTTCTATTTTAGCCCGTTGACCTACTTTTTCATCCCGAGATGACCCATGTTTGAACTTTCATCCAAGCTATCACCTAGACAAGCATCTTTGAAAACCAAGTTTGATGATGATTATGCAAAAAATGTGACCGCTAGGAGTGTTTAACAAGGGTTTTTCTATTTTTTAGCTCCAGTGACCTACTTTTCATCCGAGATGACCCATGTTCGAACTCATCCGAGCTATCACCTAAGACAAGCTTTTCCTGACAAAGTTTGATGATGATGTGGTTTTGATGCCCCAAAATGTGACGCTAGAGTGTTAAAACAAGGTTTTTTTCTATTTTTAGCTCTTGTGAACCTAGTTTTTCATCCGAGATGACCCATGTTCGAACTCATCCTAGCTATCAACTAGATAAGCATCCTGACCAAGTTTGATGATGATTTGTGGCAAAAATGTGACCGCTGGAGTGTTAACAAGGTTTTTCTATTTTTAGCTCCGGTGACCTACTTTTTCATTCGAGATGTCCCATGTTCAAACTCATCCGAGCTATCAACTAGATAAGCATCCTGACCAAGTTTGATGATGATTGAAGCAAAAATGCGACCGCTAGAGTGTTGACAACAAAATGTGAATGGACGGACGGACGACGGACAATCATCGATCCTTAAAGCTCACCCTGAGCATGCTCAGGTGAGCTAAAAATAACAATAACATCCGTATCAAAATATTTAACATTCAAGAAATTCAACAGTATAAAACATAATGACACTGGATGGTTAAATGATGCTTTTGGCACTGATTAATCAATGACATCATTTTTAGAGTTAATGTTAAAAATTTTAAACACATAATGAAATAAAACAAGAGGGCCATGATGGCCCTGAGGTAGCTCAACTGTATATAGGCCCCCAGAGCGGGCCAGTTTAAACCCCAGGGCTTTTATTTTAACAAACTTGGAATACACCCATTAGAAGCTGTTTCATGTTAAGTTTTTACTACCCACATATAATGAAAAACAATGATCTATATGCTATACACATATAAGGAAAATCAATGACCCCTGGGGCGGGGCCAATTTTGACCCAAATGCTTTTATTTGAACAAACTTTGTAGACACTTACTAGAAGATGTTTCATGCTTAATATCTAAACTCTAGCTATTTGGGTTTTTTCAAAGAAGATTTTTTCAGTTTTTGTCATACACATATAAGGAAAATCAATAACCCCCAGGGCGGGGCCAATTTTGACCCCAGGGCTTTTATTTGAACAAACTTTGTAGACACTCATTAGAAGATGTTTCATGCTAAATATCTTAGCCCTAGCTCTTTGGGTTCTTTAAAAGAAGATATTTTAAGTTTTTACTATATGCATATAGGGAAAATCAAAGACCCCCTGGGGCGAGGCCAATTTTGACCCCAGGGCTTTTATTTGAACAAACTTGGTAGACATTCATTAGAAGATGTTTCATGCCAAATATCTAAGCTCTAGCTCTTAGGGTTTTTTAAAAGAAGATATTTAAAGTTTTTTCTTTCGGTTGCCATGGCAACCAGAGTTCTGCATGGCATTAAATTCTTTCAACAACTTTTAAAGGTGACCACTAAAGGAACATTCCTGTGAAGTTTGGATGAAATTGGCTTAGTGGTTTATGAGGAGATGTCATTTAAAGTAAAAGTTTACAGACGGACGGTCGACGGACGGACGGACGCCGGACAAAAAGCGATCACAAAAGCTCACCCTGTCACTTTGTGACAGGTGAGCTAAAAACAGGTGTTTTTTTTCCAAGGCTGTCACATAGAGTTCATAAAAATGATGTAATAAGTTTTAAACACTATGAAATAAAAAACTAAGAATTTTTTTCTCAGCTTTTCAAATAAACACAAAGTTTAACATTTTAAGATCTCTATTTATAAACTATAAAGTTTATACCAAAGAGTATGACTTATTCAAGATGATAATTTGTATGATTCACTGTTGCACACAAAAATGTAAAGAGACAAGCCTTTAGAACATGAAGTTTTACTTTCAGCTCAATGATATGTAGTAAATAACCATTTTCAAGGATGGTCAATGACTAAGACTTGATGAAAAGTAAAAAAAATAAATTAACAGTACAAAGTCTGGCTAGAATGCATTAATGTGCATTATGTGCGTGACTCTAAAACTGGCAGTAAAGGTTTAGCACATAAAAGGTTAAAGGAGGTTCAACAGACTCAAAATTTTTCTTGAATTTCTTACATAGATCCCCTGGGGCACTTAACACAGAAAGATCTGTAAAAGATAAAGAAGATATATAGTCAGAAATAAATTGTAAATTTTACTTTTGTGCTTATAATTTCTGGCCCGATTTTAGGTCATTTTTCACAATTCCATTTGTATAAAAATTATTAATGAGAGAAAAATCTGAAATTTTACACACAAGCTATTGGTCTAGACATAAATCAAATGGGACATTAATCTCGAAAAATTAATTCCAGTCAAGTGATATAAAAAAAGCATCAGTGGAGTCCCTTTAAGATATAATGAAGATTCATTCCCTTTATTTTAACCTATTTTAAAACTACAAACTCCATAATGTGATAACAATATCCAAAATCATCATTTAATAAAATATATGATAATGAATGGTCTAAGAATTTATTATGTAGAAGTTTCTTTTTATCCATGTGAGGTTTTATGTAAAATTTCACTGAATTTAACATATATTTCTATCCACTAACCCTTACCACCCTAAATATCTTAAATGGACTTGTCCATCTTTCAATCTGGACAAAACCATTCATCAATTTTAGGGAATATTTCAAGATAAGTATTTACTGAATAGCTAACAGTGCAGACCACAATTTGACAGCTATATATATGGATGAGTAATCATGGCCTACACTGGTCGCATGGGTAGATTAAGTCTGGGCTGCAAGGTCAAGGGTTAAATAAATACAAAACAGGAACAATGGACGTCATAATTATTCCATATTGTTAACATGTTTGTTTGTTTCATTTTACGCCTTTTCCCAACAGTATTTTAGTCATATATGTGTGTAGTTTCCTAAGCATCATTCCTTGAGAGTTACAACAGTACTAGATTACCTTCCTCCATGCTAAACTACCAAAGCATCTCCCGGGGATCGAACCCACGCCAGAGAGGAAACTGGATTAGAAGTCATCGACTCTAACCCCTCCACCACCGAGGCGGTATATTGTTAACATAAAAAGAGATATACCAGGAGATCTATAACTGGTCTTGACGTAGATGCTGTGCTATGATTCTCACTGTGATGTCTGGTTCCCATCTGTCCGTCTGCTTTCTTTACTGTAGAAGGATCTTGATTGCTTGATTGTTCTAGAGCTTGGCTAAAAATGATGAAACATAAAACTGTTGTAATATCTG